GAAGAAGAGAGAGCAACAATGGAACAAAGACTGACAGCGCCAAGAAGAAGAAGAGAGAGGGGAGTCGCAGGAGTCTCTGAGAATTCTTGCTTTCGTTTTGTTATTGTTTCAGATTTCTTTATTTTCTATTGTTTTTGTTTTGGTTTTCTTTTACCTGGAGCAACCCATTTTACCGGTCACTTACTATCAACGGTGTAGATTACCTCACATCCCACAATAGCTTATCCAATGGTCTATAATAGTGGCGCATCCATGCGCAGGGCGCACCGTAGAATTTTCCTAGATGCGTGCCCCTTTCTTTGTTTCAGTCAAGCAAAAGTCAAGGCAATAATGCAAAGGCTGTTGCGATTGGTAAAAATCATGGTCTTAAATATCGATAATATCCCCGATATTATCCCGATAATATCTGATTTTTGGGGGTCCGATATTTTAACAACTAACCATATAGTTATCGTCAATATATCGATATTATCCCGATATTATCCCGATAATATCGGAAAGATATTTTCAACACTTTTATGAATGATTTGGTCAATATATCGAGATATTATCGATAATATCCCGATATGAAACTCAAAAAATGTAGAGAACTGAAGTAGCTCATTGAACTGATTTGGGTACTCTACGGAAAGCATGTCTCCTAGAGTAATACAAAAGTAGCTCATTGAGCTAATAAACAAAGCATGTCTAGCCGACAGAATGCTCACATGCTTTTACAAAATGGATAAAATATAAAACTTAGCTTTGGATTCCTGGCTTGGTTTACAAAATGGATAAAATATAAAACTCACCAACGTTTTTTCAACTTACATTACTTACCCTACCATTCAACCACTCACCTGCTTTTACTTACCCTACCATGGCAGTAGGCGGGCAGGACCAGGAATTGGTGCCATAGGGAAGAACTATACTCGTAGAGAAAGAGGCGAGGGGACATTGTCAAGTCAAGAAGATGACTCGTTATCTATAACTTCGGACTCTGTTGGAGTAGGAAGTAGTAACTATGGTTATACTCATAACCAACCATTTCCCTACCCTTCATATCCCATTCCTGTTGGGATGGAATCAAGTGACACATGGAAAGAATCCGAGACTCAATCTTCAAATGATTTTGCTTATGGACAACGTCAACAAATCTCGGATCCATGTGGGTGGCATGTTAACAATTACATGGAAAACTATTTTGGGGATTTATCATTTGATGACTACTCTTCAAAATATACTTACTCTACACATAGAGATGATGAAGATAGTGAAAATTTTGAACCTCATAGGAACTCTATGTGGTACTAAGTCACTCATGTATCTTACCATGCAATGTATAAAGTGTAAAATATTGTAGTAATTCATTATATATAAATGATTATCGTGTGTTTAATCTTCTTTCATTAATTACTACATATTTCTACACTTACGGTGTTTGCCAGTGTTGTGTGGATTTCAGCTGCACCAAAATGGATTAAGCTGCATCCTCAACTTGTGATACTCGCAAGTGCACGAGCCGTGCGATATTTCCGTGTTTTTTGACTTCCGATACTTCCGATACCTCCGATATTTAAGACCATGGTAAAAATCTCATGTGGGACCCATGTAGTAAATGGGGTAGCAAGTTCTGGTTTTGGTTTGGCTTTTCTGGAGGACGTCATGTTGCATTAAATGAGTGGTTGAAATTGAAGACTTTTTGGTCTTCACTTGTGGCTGCAGGCACTGGTGTAGAGTACGGGAAAAGTTTGCTTTTCACATTGAGGCAATTGCCTATTAATATACAGCAGCTGATTCATTTAGCGGGTGCGTGCTTGTGTCGCACCAAAGAGCTGGGTGTGGAGCATGCAAGCGGTGTGCTTGTGGGTCAAACCAAACTGAGAGTTGAGGCTTACGGCAATGTAAGTGGGAGTGGGCTGCTTGTGAGATGCAAGCAAGCAGTCCCACGAACTCCAGCAAAATCAAGAGGGGTTTCTCTTGGGTTCACTTGGGTGTCAAGTGTGTTGTTTACATACAAGAGAGTCGTGGTGAGAAAGCATGGTGTTCAAGAGAGAGCACGGCAGAGAGGGAGAGTGGGTTGCTTGTGAGATGCAAGCAGTCCCATGAACTCCTGGAGGATGTTTCAGCTGGGAGTTAGCTGGGTTCATCAAAGGTTCAAGGGAGGATATATCTCTTGGGGAGTGACAGTGAGTTTTGGGAAATACCGTGAGTGGGTGTACAAGGGACTCGGGTTGGGGCATAAAACTCTTGAGTGTTATATTGAGTTATGTTGATTTAACTCAATATGTATTTTGTACGGTTAATATTCTCATAGTGAAAAACTAACAATACTGTCCGGGGATATACGCAGGTTTTGCTGAACCTCGTAAATTCTTGGTGTGTTTTCTCATGTATTTACTCATTGTTGTAAAGATATCAAAGGTCCTAGTCTTGCCACATGTCAGGAGATTAAAGAATCAAGTGGTTAAAATGTTGTTAGTCTTGTTAGACAGTTAAGAAAGTCTGTTAGCATTGATCAGTGTAAGAAAGAGAAGTTAGAGAGGTTAGAGAATGTGAACAAGCTTCTAACTATAGCTTGATATAAATGTCTATAATAGTGTTAGAAAAAGATTAATGAGAATACAATAGTTTCTTCTCTCTCTATTTATCAGAAATTCTCTCTGCTTCTCTTCACTTCTCTATTTGCTTTTGTGTAATTCTGCTATCTTGATATGGTATCATTTGCCATGGATTCTTGATCTTGTGATCTTCTCTGCTTCCGCACTCTCTGGTTTCTGTTTCTGTTTCTGGCTTCGTTATCTTCTCATCCACCCAATTCTTTCGTGTTCTTCGATCTGTTTGTTAACTGTTTGATATATTGTCTCACTGAAATTCTTCTTCAACTCTTCGATTATCTGCAAGTTTATTCCTTCTCAATCTTCGATTCTCCTCTTTTACTTCTTGCATTCTTCAAATGGTGACTACTTCTCAACTCCAAATTGTTCAATCTCCTATTACTTCTTTGCTTCCTACGGTTTCTACTGCTGTGACAGTCAAGCTTGATGATACAAATTATCTCACATGGCACTTTCAGATGCAAATTCTTCTTGAGAGTCATGGCATTTTGGGATTTGTTGATGGCTCGAGGAAGTGTCCTAGTTGATTTGATGCGAACTCTGATCTTGAGGGTGGTGAAACTGATGACTATCAGGTTTGGAAAATGCATGATCAAGCATTGATGCAGTTGCTTATTGCCACTCTCTCTTCTACTGCGATTTCCTATGTCATTGGCTGTGTCAGTTCTCATGATATGTGGGTTCAACTGAAGGATCGATTTTCTACAGTTACCAAAGCACGAATCTTTCAGATGAAAAGTGAGCTTCAGACTATCAAGAAGGGTTCAGAACCTGTGTCTCAATATCTGCAAAGGATCAAAGATGCTCGAGACCATCTTTCTGCAGTAAGGGTTTATTTTGAAGATGATGATATTGTGATCTTGGCTCTCAATGGTCTTCCTTCTGACTACAACACATTTAGGTGTATGGTTCGAGGCAGAGACAATGTTTTATCTCTTAAAGATTTTCGGTCTCAATTGCTTGCTGAAGAAGCCACTCTTGAGCAGACTTATTCTGCTTCTCCATTTGTCTCTGCAATGATGGCTCAAAATCAGACATTTCAAGGCAAGGCTCTTGTTCTTGATTAAGGTAATTCTACTTCTCAACCTCAAGGGTATCCTTCTAGCTCTAAGTCTGCTCCATCTTCTCAATTTTCCTCTGGCTTCAATGGGGTTTTTAATGGTAATCATGCTGGTTTCAATGGTCCCAATGCAATGTTCAACAATGGTGGTTATTCTGGCAATCGAGGCTCTCATTTTAAGGGTCGTGGCAGAGGTCGTGGTCATTACCAATCTGGTCCACGACCTTATCAAGTTCAGCCCACTTCTAGTCCTGGCATTCTTGGTCCTGGCACTGACATTCCTACTTGTCAAATCTGTAGCAAGAAAGGTCATGTAGTTGCTGATTGTTATCAACGACACAATCAACCTTCTACTCCTACCTCTTCAGTCCAATGTCAGATTTGTTGGAAATTTAGGCATTCTGCTATTCAATGTTATCATAGAGGCAACTTCTCTTATCAAGGCAAACCTCCTTCCACCAATCTTAGTGTCATGCATGCAAACTTTCCTTCTTCTACACCTCATGAGCAATTTTGGGTGGCTGATACTGGAGCAACGACTCATATGACCTGTGATTTGGCTCAACTCAGCTTGGCTACTCCTTTCTCAGGGTCTAATACTATTACCACTGCAGGGGGTTCAGGTTTGAGCATTTCTAGTATTGGCTCTTCCATTTTGGATGTTCCACAATGCTCTTTACAATTAAAACAAGTTTTGCATGTGCCTAAGCTGTCTCAACATTTGCTATCGGTTCATAGGTTATGTAAAGATAACAATTGCATATTTATTTGTGATGCTTTTGGTTTTTGGATTCAGGACAAGATCACGAGGAGTGTTCTTCTGAAGGGACTGTGTAGAGCTGGCTTGTATCCTATTCCTTTTCTCCATTTCATCCATTCCACCACCTCGTCTTCAACAAGCATCTTCTTTCCACAAGAATCAATTCTGCTATCTTGGTCACCAAGTCAAAACAAGTCTCTGGCACAAGCGTTTCGGTCATCCTTCTAACAAAATCACTTCTGCTCTTTTAAATCAATCCCAGATTCCTTTTACTTCAGACACTTCCAAATTAGTCTATACCACTTGTTTAGAAGGCAAACTTGCCAAACTTCCTTTTCCTTATCCAACAGTTAAGTCTGTCAAACCTTTAGAAGTAATTCATAGTGATGTTTGGAGTCCTTCTCCCACTATATCTGTTGAGGGATTCAGATATTATGTTAGTTTCATAGATGAATGTACTCGGTTTACTTGGATTTTTCCAATGATCAATAAAGGAGAGGTTTATTCTATCTTTGTCTATTTCCATGCCTTCTTAGTTACTCAGTTTTCTGCTATTCTTCGAGTTTTTCAAAGTGATGGGGGTGGTGAGTATCTTAGTAATAAATTCAAACATTATCTTCTTACCAAGGGCATTGTCCATCAACTGTCATGTCCATATACTCCTCAACAAAATGGTCTTGCTGAGAGAAAACATAGGCACATTTTAGAAACTGCAATCACTCTGTTACAAACTGCCAATTTACCTCCTAAATTTTGGTTTCATGCTTGTGCTACTTCCATCTATTTGATTAATCGGATGCCTTGTCAAATTCTTCAGCTTAAATCTCCTTCTTTCTTATTGTATGGTTCTACACCAATCATTACTCATTTCAGAATCTTTGGTTGTGCTTGTTTTCCATTACTCAAGCCTTACAATACTCACAAACTTCGGCCAAAAACTTCCACTTGCATTTTTCTTAGCTATGCAGGTCAGTATAAGGGGTATATATGTTTTTCTCTTCAAACCAATCGGTTCTTTGTGACTCGACATGTCATCTTTGATGAAACTGTGTTTCCTTACACCTCTGTGCCTGCAGTATCTGTTTCTCCTTCTCCTTCTCCTTCTCCTTCTCCACCATCTATTTCTTTGCATAACACTGTTTTGCCTCTTCCTTCTTCTTCTACATCCACCTCTAGAGCCATTGCATCTTTGCATACACTGTCTCTTAGTGCCACATCTCAGACTCTGCCAGTTTGAGACTCTGCTACACAGTCTCCTCTCCCTGTGGATCCTGATTTCCAACCTGAGACTCTTTATGTAGTCTTGCCTCTTTCACCTATGAACCTTCATCCTATGACAACCAGGTCTAAAATGGTATTTCCAAAATGAAGGCTTATTTTGCCTCTGTACAACCTATTGATCTCTCTCAGGTCGAACCTAGTTCTTTCAAGGCTGCTTCTACAGTTTTTGAGTGGCAATCTGCTATGCAGGAGGAAATTGAGGCTCTTCATGCACAAGGCACTTGGGACTTGGTTCCTCTACCACCTGCTAAGAATCTTGTAGGTTGTAAGTGGGTCTATAGAATCAAGAAGAATGCAGATGGTTCTATAGCAAGACATAAGGCTTGCTTGGTTGCTAAGGGCTTTAGTCAAGAGGAAGGTATTGACTATAGTGAAACCTTCAGTCCTGTAATGAAACCTACCACTGTTCGTTTAGTACTTGCCCTTGCAGCTTAGTTTAATTGGTCTTTAAGGCAACTTAATGTTAAAAATGCATTTTTGCATGGTATTCTTCAAGAGGAGGTTTATATGACTCAACCCCAAGGCTTTGAGAGCAAGCTTCATCCTTCTGACTTTGTTTGCAAACTAAGGAAGTCTTTATATGGTTTAAAACAAGCTCCTTGTGCCTGGAATGAGAGATTTACTAGTTTTTTTTTACCAAGTTTGGGGTTTCAAGCATCTCTTGCAGATCCTTCTTTGTTTGTTCAGCATTCTTCTCTTGGCACTGTGGTCTTACTTCTCTATGTAGATGACATCATCCTTAGAGGCAGTCATTCCTCTCTTATTACATCAGTTATTGAAGCATTAACTAAGGAATTTGATATGAAGGATTTAGGCCAGTTGAATTATTTTTTGGGACTGCAGATTTCTTATCAGTCTTCTGGTCTATTTGTGTCTCAGACTAAATATATCAAAGAATTACTTGCTAGGGTTGATTTACAGGAATCGAAACCATGTGCTACTCCTTGTCTTTCCTATCATCACCTGCTCAAGGATGATGGCAAGCCTTATTCTCATCCACAACAATTCAGGAGTATTGTTGGAGCTCTGCAGTATCTCACCTTCACAAGGCCTGATATTGCCTTCTCAGTGAATCAAGCTTGTCAATTCATGCATCATCCAATGGAATCTCATGTTGTAGCAGTTGAGAGAATCTTGAGGTATCTTAAAGGTACCCTTGATTTTGGAATTCATTTTCAGCCTGGTATACTTAATCTGCAGGCTTATAGTGATGCTGACTGGGCTAGTGATCCAAATGATAGACGGTATGTCTCAGGTTTTATTGTTTACTTAGGGTCCAGTCCTATTTCTTGGGCTTCTAAGAAACAACATACTGTTTCTCGATCCTCCATTGAGGCCGAATATAGGGCTCTAGCTATTGCTGCTGCAGAACTTGCCTAGATTCGACAACTATTCTGTGATCTTCATATCCCTTTACATATTCCTCCTTTAATCCATTGTGATAATATTTCTGCTATTTCCCTTGCTTCAAATCCAATGTTCCATTCAAGAATGAAGCATCTCCAGATTGATTATCATTTTGTCAAAGAACGTGTTATCAAAGGTGACTTGCTGGTCCAGCATGTCTCTTCTACAGACCAGTTTGCTGATATCCTCACTAAAGGTCTTTCAACTCCTTTATTTCAGCACCATTGTTCCAATCTTATGCTTGGCTCCTCCAAGCCTGCGATTGAGGGGGAATGTAAAGATATCAAAGGTCCTAGTCTTGCCACATGTCAAGAGATTAAAGAATCAAGGTCCTAGTCTTGCCACATGTCAAGAGATTAAAGAATCAAGTGGTTAAAATGTTGTTAGTCATGTTAGACAGTTAAGAAAGTCTGTTAGCATTGATCAATGTAAGAAAGAGAGGTTAGAGAGGTTAGAGAACGTGAACAAGCTTCTAACTATAGCTTGATATAAAGGTCTGTAATAGTGTTAGAAAAAGATTAATGAGAATACAATAGTTTCTTCTCTCTCTATTTATCAGAAATTCTCTCTGCTTCTCTTCACTTCTCTATTTGCTTCTGTGTAATTCTGCTATCTTGATAATTGTCATCTTGGGCTTGTTGGTTTGTTTGTTTATTTTCCATCGGGTTATGCTGTGACGAGGGGGAAAGCGGTGTTTCCCCAACAAAGGCCATGGCAGCTGGTATGAGTGCTCAGCTCACGGAGGCAACATGCAAAATTCCATGACTTCAAATTGAAATAATATGTTTAAGGATTCGGAGAAGGACATAAATATATAGAAAATTATCTATGGGTTCAATAATCCAAATTTTGTGATCCAAATATAAACCTTGGTTGACCAAATTTTGTGATCCAATCCAAGTAATAGTTTAAAGGATGCTTGAAGTTTGTTGATAAGAAGTGTTGGAAAAATGGCTCACATTTAGGTTGCAAGTGAAGGAGGAAGCGACCGGTCGCTGGGTATTTGCGACCGGTCGTTTCAAAGCAGAAACGAAGTCTGGAACGAAGTCGACGAGCGACCGGTCGCCAGACATTTGCGACCGGTCGCCCTGGCACAGATTCGAAGTCTGAAGAAATCACAGAAAGCGACCGGTCGCAAGGTATCAGCGACCGGTCGCTAGGTATCCAAATGGTCGTAGCGACCGGTCGCAAGGTATCAGCGACCGGTCGCTAGGTATCCAAATGGTCGTAGCGACCGGTCGCAAGGTATCAGCGACCGGTCGCTAGGTATCCAAATGGTCGTAGCGACCGGTCGCAAGGTATCAGCGACCGGTCGCTAGGTATCCAAATGGTCGTAGCGACCGGTCGCAAGGTATCAGCGACCGGTCGCTAGGTATCCAAATGGTCGTAGCGACCGGTCGCAAGGTATCAGCGACCGGTCGCTAGGTATCCAAATGGTCGTAGCGACCGGTCGCAAGGTATCAGCGACCGGTCGCTAGGTATCCAAATGGTCGTAGCGACCGGTCGCAAGGTATCAGCGACCGGTCGCTAGGTATCCAAATGGTCGTAGCGACCGGTCGCAAGGTATCAGCGACCGGTCGCTAGGTATCCAAATGGTCGTAGCGACCGGTCGCAAGGTATCAGCGACCGGTCGCTCCTGTGCTGTGCTGATGTTTTCTTACGTGTTTTCAACTGGAGAGAATAGAGTTCTAAGGGGGTTTTTCTGTGTAAAACCAAAGTTGTAACTTATTCTTTCATGAAGTGAATTTCTCAAGGGGATCACCAAGAGGATGTAGGCAATTGCTGAACCTCTATAAATTCTTGTGTCACTTTGTGCTTGGTTGTTGTCTCAAGTGTGTGTGTGTGATTCATCCATCATTGTGTGTGTCACAAAGTCCATCAACAACAAGATCATTAGGGGAGTGAGTGAAAGTGTTTGTCAATATTTTCACAACAAGAAGCACTATATGAGTTGTCAAAATTGGAGTAATAATATATATCTTCGAAGAAAGTGGCAGTTTTTAATGTCTTTTGTTTTCAATAAAAGTTCCAAGTTGGCCAGATTCTGTCTTTTGACAAAGATGGCCTTGGTGAGGATCACTCTGATGCATCAGTATTTGACAAATCAGAAAACTGCCCCTTTAAGTTCTATGTCTAAAACCATTTTCAACCTTTCAATTGCTTTAGACAAATTGGAGATAAAAGTTTCATTCCTTTACCAGACACCAGATGATTTCAATATGTACTCCCAAAGATTGCTTCCGGTTCAACCGAAAAAAAGAAAGAAAAGAAGAAGACTGCTTCCAGTCCGGTTCATGGTTTAGAATTTCTGAAACCACTATATTCTCTGATAGTATTGGTGGCTCTTGTACACTCAAATTGCTTGGTCAGTGCATGATGGAGTGTTTGGCTTCTTCAATTCTAATTTTATTGAATTGGTTTTGGATATATGACATATATATAATTATATATACTACTCCCCGTGGATGTAGGCATATTGCCGAATCACATTAAATTCTTGGTGTCCTCTTTAATTTTCTTGCTTGTGTTCTTGATTACGTAATTTTGATGAGTTCTCATTCTCCTAACAAAATCCAGTGGTTTTCAATGAAAAAACCAGTCCGAACCTAAGTTGACATAAATACTAACTTGTACTTGCCCTTTCATCCTTTTCTTTGGCCTATCTAGTTTTTGTATTGCATAAATTTGATGTCTGCATTTGCATTTTCTGTACTCTTTTCACCTTTTTTGTCAATTGATGCAAGTTGGACTTTCTTTCACAAGGGTAAAATTTTAATTGAAGCTTTTCCATTTTGATTACATATGGAGCAGCATTTGAAATACATTACATTGTCGCCTGTCCTTTTCTTTTTTAGTGAGAGAGAAAAGAGCGAGACAGTACTAGAGAAAGGAAGAGAAAGAAGAAAGCACCAATAATAACAATAATCTTGCAGCCTCTGCTACCACAGTTGTTGTTTGCCCTCTCTGCTTCTATTAATGTTTCTGATGCTGCTGCAAGTGCAAGCGGCTCATCGTCACCCTGTGGTGGCTGCCTTTCTTCTTTGTCTACAAAACACACAAATAACAGAAAGTCAACATAAAATATCAGAAGGAACTAAATTCTTTGAAATGAATGTGGATGGCTTGGCATGTGTTTCAACATCAAAATAGTGATAATAAAGCAGCACCTATTCCCGCTCTATATTTTAAAACACTAGCAGGAAAAGTGCAGTATGACAAACTGAGAGTACGAATAGCATTGCCACCACAATTAACTTCTTGTGCTAATTTATCAGTGATATATCTAAACAACATACCTGTTTCTTCATTAGAGTCTCCAAAGATGTCTTTGAACCAATCTTCCCTTTTCCAGCTAAACAAAAAATCTCTACCACCATCTCTATTTAGGGGTCCACCCCACATGAAGTATATTCCTGGAATAAACTCTGCCAAATTCCCACCAATGTCAGATGGATAACAAGGATCTGTGTCGTAGTTTTGGGCACTACTTATCTCATGGTCTTGCTCATGCACAAGTTGGATGCCGCACTCTTTCACTTGGAGCCAAGGTTGCGTAAATACTGAAACTGTCACTTCTTCCCCGCTTTCCAGTCGGTTCCCTAACTTCCAGTGACTTAACCATATCACGTCGTTTTCGTTACCTGGAATGCCATAGCATGTTGGGGCATAGATCCATTTCAGACCCTTGCTCTTGTTACTGACTTTGGTAATTACTGGATTAGGTATACTAGAAAAATAGTAAGTGTTGGAATTTGCATAAATAGAGAAGATGTTCAAGCCTCGGATCTTTAGATTTGGAAGTGAAGGCACAGTAAAAGATACTGAGGACCCTTTACTTCTATGGCTGAACTGGCCTGGAACCTCATTTCCAGGAACAAATGTGCTGAATATGCCAACTTCAGACAGTCCCTATACCAAATAGCAAGAGTAATTAGTCACCCTCTTGCTTGCATAGGGCGTAGTAAAATGCTGTTTAACAAAACTCTTTGTTTTTTTCCCAACTTTTCTTTCTCAACTTACATAGTCTAAATTCCAAAGTTTTGAGCATGCCATATAATTTTCGGAAAATAATAAAACGTTGGGTTGCATTGCATTGCCCAATAAGAGAGAGAGAGGAGAGAGAGAGCGAAGAATTACCTCGATGGGATGCATCGTGCCATCCGAATAAAGCATATCTGGGGTGCACATCCTAATGGCTTTCATGGATTCCAAGTTATACAAGCCCAAAAGTTTTATCATTTCTGCATCCACTGTTTCTATTGGCTCTAACTTGTACCAGTACTCAATCTCAGCAAGTTTGGAGTTGTAACCATACATGATAGTGTTTGGTAGGCATGAAATTGATTGAAATGTTATTTTCTCCAATGACTCAGAATGGAGTGTAACCAATTCTTTTACTCTTGGTAGCCCCTCAAGCGATTTGAGCTTTGTACATTGGGAAAATGCAAGGTGATCGAGCCCTGTATGGCCTCTGATGCAATCAGGTAGCCTACAAAGTGGATTGCTACTTAGATCCAATCTCTGCAATGAGGGTAAGCTACCAAAATCTCTTGGAAAAGAATCATCAGAAAGATTGCAGTCTGTAAGACTTAGAACAACTAAAGTGCAGGGTAAAGTGGTAGTGTGTAATCGACTTATTGGAACTTCATCGGCTAGAAACACTTTAAGAGATTCCATCTTCCCCATCTCCACAGGAAACTCATTAAGGCTTGAGCAACCAGATATAATAAGTGTTTCAAGTGATTTTAGCATAGAACTGCTATTTGGAAGCTTCCTAATATTTTTGCAATCTTTCATATTCATGTAAACAAGTTTCTCTAGGTTTCCAATGGATTCATGGACGTCAACCAAGCTTGCACAATCTTCAAGAATCAATCTCTCTAGATTGGGGACCAATGAGAAGTCGCCGGTTTCAGTGAGCTCATGGGAATTGCTGAGATCAAGGATCTTTAATGATGGAAGATGCTGTGAAAAGAAAAATGTAAGAACGCAGGAGTTTATTCTTGTAGATTTGTCTACCAGTTAATCCCTAAGAAAAACTAAAATGAAAAGTGTGGAGTCGCATGCATACCTTTGTTCCCTTCCAGATTTGTCTTAAGCTACTATAGGGCATTTCAAGAACAACCAAGCTCTCCAAAAGAAAGTCACTGGGTATAGAGTCTAAAGGGAATTTAAGCCAATACAACCATCTCAGTCCTTTAGGAAATTCTTCATAACATCCATTGAGCTGTACAAAACTAAGCTGGAGTAGTTTTAGTTTAACCATCCTTCTAAATGCATTAGTTTCGAAGACTACCATATTTGATTTTCTCAAAGGAGTGTCTACAGGGTGCAGATTAAGGGCAAGACCTTCAACTTTCTTTGAACCCTAGTACAAAGAAAATAGAAAACAAAGCATTTGGATTAGTAACCAACATGAATGCACAAAAAAAGAAAAAAGATTATGCGTGCAGCATACATAATGAGCATGTTTCTTACATTCTTTTCTCTCAATACACTGAGAGAATCCTTATGATGCCATAATCTACTACGTTTCTCCAGCTCTTTTGATTCTAGGCGAACAATTTCTCTTCCCATGTCACGAATCATTTGATGCATCTTCACCTTATCATATTCATCAATTGTTAACAAACACCGATCGGTGAGATTTTGAATGCCAACAATTGTAAAGAAATCACATCCATCTAGTATTTTCACTGTGACATCTTTTTCATTTCCAATGAAGAAACATGCAATATGGAGGAATAATTGTTGGTCATGGTCGTCTTGTAAAGAGTCGTAGCTTATTCTGAGCTTATTCACAATGTCATCATTTGGAATAACTTCCAATTTCTTTAATGCACTTTCCCATACATCTACACTCTGCCCTGATAGTGAAGAACCCAAAATTTTAAGAGCTAATGGAAGTCCCCCGCTGTGGTTTACTACTTTTTCCGAAAGTTTCACATAACCTTCAACTGGATGGTTCTGTCCGAATGCGTGGCAACTAAAGAGCTCCAATGATTCAACATGATTTAAGGTTTCAACATTATGCACCTTAACATCTTGATGAGCCTTCAACAACCCCACACACCTAGTTGTTATAATAATTTTACTTCCTGGATAAAACCATTTTCGCATTCGAAGTACTGCATCTAATTGGTTCGTATGATCCACATCATCAAGGACAAGAAGAACTTTTTTACAGCTTATAACATCCTTAATCTTAATTATTCCCTCACTAACACTACGTATCTTTATTGTTCTTCCACCCAAAATATCAGAGAGAAGTTGTACTTGCATTTGAACCAGACCATTGGGACCTTCTGAAGTCTCCCTGATATTTTCAAGGAAACTTCTTCCTTCAAATCTTGAAAAATTTGAATTATAAACAACTTGTGCAATGGTTGTCTTCCCTATTCCACCTATCCCATAAATCACAAATATCTCAACATCAGATGATCCATCTTGTAACCATAAATTAATCTCTTTGACTCTAGAATCGATTCCAATTAGGTAAGGGGCAACACTCAACGGCGTGCGACTTAGCTTGCCTTCAATCACTTTAACAATTTTCTTGATAAACTTTGCCTCATGCCTAGAAAATTGCAATCCAAATGAAAATAAATGGGGAAATCAAATTATAAAGTCTGATATGTTAATATTATATATGTCATGAAAGAAAACTTAAAAAGGACCAGTTATAAATTAACGAAATTTACCCATCACATTCATTTTGTAAGACCATGCCTGCAAGATCTGCAACTTCTGCAAGTGCTGCCTTCCATCTTTTCACCTTGTCCTTGTTTACAGATCGATTTTTTTGGTGTCCGGCAAATGCTTTTGCAAAGCTTCCAGTCTGCTTCCTCACCTCAGATGGATCGATGTCGTAGAAGACTGGTAAAACTACATGATCAGAGGTCCTCTTGCGTTGCAGGATCATCACAAGCTCGTCAAGGCACCATGTGGAAGACGCGTAGTCTTTCGAAAACACAATGACAGAACTTCGTGAGTGTTGGATTGCTTTCTCCAGCTCTAGCTTGATATCTTCCCCTCTCTCAAGTTCATCGTCGTCTCGGAAAGTTTGAAGCCCTGCGTTGACAAAGGCTGTATAGATGTGGTCAGTAAAAGTTTTGCGAGTGTCTTCACCTCTGAAACTCAAGAACACATGATAACTGCAACCACAAGTATCTGAAGAGGAGGCTTCTTGAGCTCTAACAAGTGCCATTGATGAACAAGTGGCTCAGTAATTCTAGCTGGTATTTTTTCCTTGCAGGTTTCTTAGCTGATTATATCATGATCAGGTGATATTAATGAATAATGCGCGTTTCAAAACAATCTGCTCATGAATGTCCTTTCCTGGTCAAGAAAATAAAGATAAGTCTACTCCATCAACTTAAAAGCAAATGGCATAGATACCAATGCATGTCCTTTTTACTCTTTTCAGTCAAGCAAGTGAAACAGATGTCCACTTATCCTAAACGCAATAATTCGTGGTAGCTGTTAATTAAGGGGAAAACTTCTTAGTGCGAGACCACACATCGGTGTGACAATCATATGGAAAAATTTCCTGTAAATAAGAGTTGTGCAACTTAGATTAATAGAATATAAGTTCTATCGTCTCTCTAATTGAAGTAGAACCCATATCTAAACAAGTGGGATATAAGTTGTCGGTCTAACACATGTACATTCGACCTCTGTTAGAAAGAGGGTATAACATGTACTAATATTGGGTTGAGATTGTACAATTAATTTTATTCAAATTGAAATTGACGACCTTGTTTAATTTAAATTTTACATAAACTTTTTACCAATTCCACTTTTGTTGCATGACCTCATTGAGGACAAAGAAGAACGGTGTCTTGAAGGAACATAAATTACCTTGGTTTGATCGATTTTTGTGAGCCAAGTTCATGATTTGGAGTTTTGTTCCTATACTGAACAATACTTGAGTTAAAAGTGATGCCCTGATGTAGTTAGTGGTCCAAAACTCCTTGCTTTTGACAAAAGATGGCGTTGATGGGTTTGGGTGAAGGCAATGGCATCATGAGTCATGACAAAGGTGTACTTACGTTCCTACTGACTGTCAGTGAAGGCTCTTTCTCTACACTATCACTTCGATTTGATGCAGCACCAATTTGGTTTAAGAATAAATTGAGAACCGAATGCCTAGGCCCAGCCTTTTGCAGGAATTTCTCTTGGAAATTCAGAAAAGATATAAGATAATAAATATTTTTTAATCAAACGATATTAGAAGAGAGAGATTCGAGAATCTTTTTGGTTTTTGGCTAAATACTACTTGGAGCTATAACTGCTTTAAAACCAGTCCGAACCTAAGTTGACATAAATACTATCTAGTTTTTGTATTGCATAAATTTGATGTCTGCATTTGCATTTTCTGTACTCTTTTCATCTTTTTTGTCAATTGATGCCAGTTGGTTTCTGACTTTCTTTCACAAGGGTAAAATTTTAATTGAAGCTTTTCCATTTTGATTACATATGGAGCAGCATTTGAAATACATTACATTGTCGCCTGTCCTTTTTCTTTTTTAGTGAGAGAGAAAAGAGCGAGACAGTACTAGAGAAAGGAAGAGAAAGAAGAAAGCACCAATAATAACAATAATCTTGCAGCCTCTGCTAGCCCTCTCTGCTTCTATTAATGTTTCTGCTGCTGCTGCAAGTGCAAGCGGCTCATCGTCACCCTGTGGCTGCCTTTCTTCTTTGCCTACAAAACACACAAATACCAGAAAGTCAACATAAAATATCTGAAGGAACTAAATTCTGTGAAATGAATGTGGATGGCTTGGCATGTGTTTCAACATCAAAATAGTGATAATAAAGCAGCAGCTATTCCCACTCTATATTTCAAAACACTAGCAGGAAAAGTGCAGTATGACAAACTGAGAGTACAAATAGCATTGCCACCACAATTAACTACTTGTGCTACTTTATCAGTGATATATCTAAACAACATACCTGTTTCTTCATTAGAGTCTCCAAAGATGTCTTTGAACCAATCTTCCCTTTTCCAGCTAAAAACATAATCTCTACCACCATCTCTATTTAGGGGTCCACCCCACATGAAGTATGTTCCTGGAATAAACTCTGCCAAATTCCCACCAATGTCAGATGGATAACAAGGATCGGCGTCGTAGTTTTGGCCACAACTTATCTCACAGTCTTGCTCATGCACAAGTTGGATGCCGCACTCTTTCACTTGGAGCCAAGGTTGCGTAAATACTGAAACTGTCACTTCTTCCCCGCTTTCCAGTCGGTTCCCTAACTTCCAGTGACTTAACCATATCACGTCATTTTCGTTATCTGGAATGCCATAGCATGTTGGGGCATAGATCCATTTCAGACCCTTGCTCTTGTTACTGACTTTGGTAATTACTGGATTAGGTACACTAGAAAAATAATAAGTGTTGGAATTTGCATAAATAGAGAAGATGTTCAAGCCTCGGATCTTGAGATTTGGAAGTGAAGGCACAGTAAAAGATACGGAGGACCCTTTACTTCTATGGCTGAACTGGCCTGGAACCTCGTTTCCAGGAAGAAATGTGCTGAATATACCAACTTCATACAGTCCCTATACCAAATAGCAAGAGTAATTAGTCACCCTCTTGCTTGCATAGGGCGTAGTAAAATGCTGTTTAACAAAACTCTTTGTTTTTTTCCCAACTTTTCTTTCTCAACTTACATAGTCTAAATTCCAAAGTTTTGAGCATGCCATATAATTTTCGGAAAATAATAAAACGTTGGGTTGCATTGCATTGCCCAATAAGAGAGAGAGAGGAGAGAGAGAGCGAAGAATTACCTCGATGGGATGCATCGTGCCATCCGAATAAAGCATATCTGGGGTGCACATCCTAATGGCTTTCTAATGGCTTTCATGGATTCCAAGTTACACAAGCCCAAAAGTTTTATCATTTCTGCATCCACTGTTTCTATTTGCTCTAACTTGTACCAGTACTCAATCTCAGCAAGTTTGGAGTTGTAACCATACATCATACTCTTTGGTAGGCATGAAATTGATTTAAATGTTATTTTCTCCAATGACTCAGAATGGAGTGTAACCAATTCTTTTACTCTTGGTAGCCCCTCAAGCGATTTGAGCTTTGTACATTGGGAAAATGCAAGGTGATCGAGCCCTGTAAGGCCTCTGATGCAATCTGGCAGCCTACAAAGTGGATTGCTACTTAGATCTAATCTCTGCAATGAGGGTAAGCTACCAAAATCTCTTGGAAAAGAATCATCAGAAAGATTGCAGTCTGTAACACTTAGAACAACTAAAGTGCAGGGTAAAGTGGTAGTGTGTAATCGACTTATTGGAACTTCGTCGGCTAGAAACACTTTAAGAGATTCCATCTTCCCCATCTCCACAGGAAACTCATTAAGGCTTGAGCAACCAGATATAATAAGTGTTTCAAGTGATTTTAGCATAGAACTGCTATTTGGAAGCTTCCTAATATTTTTGCAATCTTTCATATTCAAGTAAACAAGTTTCTCTAGGCTTCCAATGGATTCATGGACGTCAACCAAGCTTGCACAATCTTCAAGAATCAATCTCTCTAGATTGGGGACCAATGAGAAGTCCCCGGTTTCAGTGAGCTCATGGGAATTGCTGAGATCAAGGATCTTTAATGATGGAAGATGCTGTGAAAAGAAAAATGTAAGAACGCAGGAGTTTATTCTTGTAGATTTGTCTACCAGTTAATCCCTAAGAAAAACTAAAATGAAAAGTGTGGAGTCGCATGCATACCTTTGTTCCCTTCCAGATTTGTCTTAAGCTACTATAGGGCATTTCAAGAACAACCAAGCTCTCCAAAAGAAAGTCACTGGGTATAGAGTCTAAAGGGAATTTAAGCCAATACAACCATCTCAGTCCTTTAGGAAATTCTTCATAACATCCATTGAGCTGTACAAAACTAAGCTGGAGTAGTTTTAGTTTAACCATCCTTCTAAATGCATTAGTTTCGAAGACTACCATATTTGATTTTCTCAAAGGAGTGTCTACAGGGTGCAGATTAAGGGCAAGACCTTCAACTTTCTTTGAACCCTAGTACAAAGAAAATAGAAAACAAAGCATTTGGATTAGTAACCAACATGAATGCACAAAAAAAGAAAAAAGATTATGCGTGCAGCATACATAATGAGCATGTTTCTTACATTCTTTTCTCTCAATACACTGAGAGAATCCTTATGATGCCATAATCTACTACGTTTCTCCAGCTCCTTTGATTCTAGGCGAACAATTTCTCTTCCCATGTCACGAATCATTTGATGCATCTTCACCTTATTATATTCATCAATTGTTAACAAACACCGATCGATGAGATTTTGAATGCCAACAATTGTAAAGAAATCACATCCATCTAGTATTTTCACTGTGACATCTTTCTCATTTCCAATGAAGAAACATGCAATATGGAGGAATAATTGTTGGTCATGGTCGTCTTGTAAAGAGTCGTAGCTTATTCTGAGCTTATTCACAATGTCACCATTTGGAATAACTTCCAATTTCTTTAATGCACTTTCCCATACATCTACACTCTGCCCTGATAATGAAGAGCCCAAAATTTTAAGAGCTAATGGAAGTCCTCCGCTGTGGTTTACTACCTTTTCCGAAAGTTTCACATAACCTTCAACTGGATAGTTCTGTCCGAAAGCGTGGCAACTAAAGAGCTCCAATGATTCAACATGATTTAAGGTTTCAACATTATGCACCTTAACATCTTGATGAGCCTTCAACAGCCCCACACACCTAGTTGTTATAATAATTTTACTTCCTGGATAAAACCATTTTCGCATTCGAAGTACTGCATCTAATTGGTTCATATGATCCACATCATCAAGGACAAGAAGAACTTTTTTACAGCTTATAACATCCTTAATCTTAATTATTCCCTCACTAACACTACGTATCTTTATTGTTCTTCCACCCAAAATATCAGAGAGAAGTTGTACTTGCATTTGAACCAGACCATTGGGACCTTCTGAAGTCTCCCTGATATTTTCAAGGAAACTTCTTCCTTCAAATCTTGAAAAATTTGAATTATAAACAACTTGTGCAATGGTTGTCTTCCCTATTCCACCTATCCCATAAATCACAAATATCTCAACATCAGATGATCCATCTTGTAACCATAAATTAATCTCTTTGACTCGAGAATCGATTCCAATTAGGTAAGGGGCAACACTCAATGATGTGCGGCTTAGCTTGCCTTCAATCACTTTAACAATTTTCTTGATAAACTTTGCCTCATGCCTAGAAAATTGCAATCCAAATGAAAATAAATGGGGAAATCAAATTATAAAGTCTGATATGTTAATATTATATATGTCATGAAAGAAAACTTAAAAAGGACCAGTTATAAATTAACGAAATTTACCCATCACATTCATTTTGTAAGACCATGCCTGCAAGATCTGCAACTTCTGCAAGTGCTTCCCTCCATCTCTTCACCTTGTCCTTGTTCAGAGATCGATTTTTTTGGTGTCCAGCAAATGCTTTTGCAAAGGTTCCAGTCTGCTTCCTCACCTCAGATGGATCGATGTCGTAGAAGACTGGTAAAACTACATGATCAGAGGTCCTCTTGCGTTGCAGGATCATCACAAGCTCGTCAAGGCACCATGTGGAAGACGCGTAGTCTTTCGAAAACACAATGACAGAACTTCGTGAGTGTTGGATTGCTTTCTCCAGCTCTAGCTTGATATCTTCCCCTCTCTCAAGTTCATCGTCGTCTCGGAAAGTTTGAAGCCCTGCGTTGACAAAGGCTGTATAGATGTGGTCAGTAAAAGTTTTGCGAGTGTCTTCACCTCTGAAACTCAAGAACACATGATAACTGCAACTACAAGTATCTGAAGAGGAGGCTTCTTGAGCTCTAACAAGTGCCATTGATGAACAAGTAGCTCAGTACTAGCTGGTATTTTTCCCTTGCAGGTTTCTTAGCTGATTATATCATGATCAGGTGATATTAATGAATAATGCGCGTTTCAAAACAATCTGCTCATGAATGTCCTTTCCTGGTCAAGAAGATAAAGATAGTATACTCCATCAACTCAAAAGCAAATGGCATAGATACCAATGCATGTCCTTTTTACTCTTTCAGTCAAGCAAGTGAAACAGATGTCCACTTATCCTCAACGCAATAATTCGCGGTAGCTGTTAATTAAGGGTAAAACTTATGAGTGCGGGACCACACATCGGTGTGACAATCATATGGAAAAATTTCCCTGTAAATAAAAGTCTTGCAACTTAACATTAAAAGAATATTGTTATTTATTTATCGCAGTTGTATAGTCTCTCTAATTGAAGAAGAACCCATATCTAAACAAGTGGGATATAAGTTGTCAGTTTAACACACGTACATTCGACCTCTGTTAGAAAGAGGGTATAACATGTACTAATATTGAGTTGAGATTGTACAATTAATTTTATTCAAATTGAAATTGACGACCTTGTTTAATTTAAATTTTACATAAACTTTTTACCGATTCAACTTTTGTTGCATGACCTCATTGAGGACAGAGAAGAACGGTGTCTTGAAGGAACATAAATTACCTTGGTTTGATCCATTTTTGTGAGCCAAGTTCATGATTTGGAGTTTTGTTCCTTTTCTGAACAATACTTGAGTTAAAAGTGATTGGTTTGAAGTAGTTTTAGTGGTCTCGTTTATTTTCAATGGAATCCAAACTCCTTGCGTTGATGTGTTTGGGCGAAGGCAATGGCATCATGAGTCTCAACCACCACAGAATTCTCATATATGCAGCCTAATGTCAAAAAGGTCAAAAAGGCCCAAAAAATGTCAAAAAGGCATTCCTAAATGCTTAAGACCCGCCGGAGCTGTCCTCAAATGTGTGGACGTGGATGCCGGTGCTGCCCATTGAGCCCGAGTGGTGCCCGCATGAATCACTTTTTTCTCTCCTCAATCGCACAAGACGTGCAACTGCCCGAATACTCTCCTATCAAACCACATGCGCAGGGCCCGCTAGCACATAGAAAACACTTGATTTTTGTACTCTCCTCTTTTTCTACCATTTCTTTTTCTTCTTCAAATGAAAGTCATCTTCTTCTTTTTTTCTTTTTTTCTTTTTTTTAAAATAGAAATAATTTTTTTTTTTTAATTTCCTCTAATCACTTTTTTTTTTTTTTTAATCTTGTCCAAATATAGATTTTTTTGGGTTGAAATGTTAAAAAAAAAAACCCAACATAACATAAACATACATTAAAACATAATAAGTTAACAAAAATAAAAAATAGCACATAAATCAAATTACATCATAAATAGATCCCCAAATATAGAGCCTCCCATTGTGGGAGAGATGGCTTTAGAACCCTAAAGATTCCATCAAAACTCTAAGAGCAAGTCCAGCGCACAAAAGATAGCCCGATCAAGGCTTGGGACCCACAAGCCTGGGCAAGCCCACGGGCAAATCCTGCTTAGGCTCAAGTCCGAAGGCGCTGATGTTACGCTGACGTCAGCGAGCGAAAAAAATTCAAAAAAAATCCGAAAAAATTCAATATTTTTTTATAAAAAATACTAAAAAATTATGGATGTTTTCTAATACATAACAATTTTATTCACTTTCCACACCAAATCCTCTAAATTGTTTATATTTTGTTGCATAATCTTTTTTTTTTTTTTCTTTTCCTTGCCTTAGCCTTTTGGGATGGAACCAAAAAAAGTAAGGCTGCCACTATTCACATGAATAGTAGCAGCCCTTGTCTTGCCTTGCCTTTGCCTTTTGGGGTGGACTTGCTCTAAATGAAGCTCTATCAACCTCTTTTAGAGCCTCTATCATTGGGATGGCCTGACAAAGGTGTACGTACGATTCCCACCACCTACTGCTAGTAAAAGCTCTCTCTCTCCACTATAACTCTGATTTGATGCAGCACCAATTTGGTTTTAAAAAAAAGGCTTTTTATCACAAAACGTCCTTGACGTTCGCGAAACTATCACATTGCATCCTTAAAGTTTTTTTGTATCACTCATGGTCCCTAACGTTAATATAGGTACTCTTAAATAGTCATTCTGTAAAAAAAAACTGTTAAATCCAGAGATATAATAGTCAAATCAATCTAAAATTATAAAATATATATAAAAAATCAATCCAAAATTATAAAATATATATAAAATTTAGTTTCCAGCCAATTCCAAGTAGCCACTGGGATTTTAGGCCGTGGAGTTGATCTCGTGGAGTTGATTTTAAGCATGCCAAATTCCATGAAGGAGTATGTCCATCAGATTGGTAGGGCATCTAGGCTGGGAGAAGAGGGTGCATCAATTGTGTTTGTAAGTGAGGAGAATAAGAACTTGTTTCCAGATTTGGTTGAGAGTCTAAGATCTTCTGGTGCAGCTATACCTCAGGAGCTTGTTAATTCGTGGTATATGACAGTGACACGCCCATACTCCAATGGCGGAGGCCAGAAAAAGAGGAAGCATGAATGAAAGGGAATAACATAAAGGTGAGCACTGAAAATGGAAGGGAATAACATAAACAAATTGAACTATAAAAACCCAGCTGCTGTTTTGCCCAGAAATTTGAAGCTTTTTCGTCACCAAAAGTTTTTAGCAACAGATGTTCATAAGATTTTTCGTGGCTAAACATTTTCTACGACGGTGTTCTTCAGATTTTTCGTCACTAAAAGTGAAATTTCCAGATCAACTTCAAACTTATATACAAGGGTAAGTTCTAGGTTTCTATCTTTAGTTTAGTCGTTTCTTGATTTTATTTGCAGGCTGTTTCACAAATTAGACGAGAATAATAACACATACATATCATCACATGAGCTTAGAGCATTGATCCAAGGAATACAAATAGAAGAAGTAGGTCTGGATGACGATGATTGTGCAGCAAAAGTGATGGAGGAATTTGATATCTCTGGTGATTCTCAAATAGTTGAGACAGAGTTTGTCAATGGAATCTCAAACTGGATTAATCCAGCTAAGCCCTCTGCCAACGATAACAGTCATGAACATAAATAAATAAATAAAAATATATATATATATATATATTAATTTTAGATTGATTTGACAATTATATCCCTGGATTTAACAGTTTTTTTTGACAGAGGGATTATTTAAGAGCACCTATATTAACGTTAGAGACCATGAGTGATACAAAAAAACTTTATGGATGCAATCTGACAGTTTTGCAAACATTAGGGACATTTTGTGATAAAAAGCCTAAAAAAAAAAAGCAATTGAGAACCTAATGCATAGGCCTAGCCATTTGCTGGAATTTCTCTTGGAAATTCAGAAGAGATATAAGATAATAAATATTTTTTAATCAAACGATATTAGAAGAGAGATATTCGAGAATCTTTTTGGTTTTTTGCTAAATACTATTAACATCTAGAGCTATAACTGCCCACAATATTGGTCGGTTGCGACAATTGTACTTGCTAAAACAGATTAGCATTTGACAAAGCGAGATTTAATGGGAATTCCCAGCAAGTTGGGGACGTTTTGTTGCTAATTATCAAGCCTGTGGTTGAACTAATCACAAAACTCAAACTTTTTTCTGTATGGCCTATCTCCTGTCGAAGGAGAAGAACGAAAAAACGAGAAATTTGTATTCTTAAGCAATATTGCCTTCTACAAAAAGACTCATGAACAAAATGTTATAAGAACTCCAATAAATTCAATTATTGACACTTGTATTAAGTCACTGTAACTGAGGGAATGGCTGTGAAAGAATTCTCAGACTGAGATCCCATAATTGCTAATTTTTGTGACTTCCTTTGTCAAAGCATTCCTTTCTTGCTTTGCCTCGGTAGCTAGTTTGGAGACCTGAAAAGGAGACAACCCAAGATGAGCACTTCAAGCAAAAGTGTATATGAAATCCATAACAAGGAAATATTTGTACAAGCCAGTTTTCAAAGGTCATTTTTTATGGTTTTTGTCTTTATGAATTGAAGTGCTTATATCTTTTTGATCTGGAAAAGGAAGAAATAATAAAGTGCAATGCTATGATCTGAGAACTCACTTGGGACCGGAACACGGATGCTTCTCTTCTAGGAAGTTCTCCAAGGATATCTTTTAAACCTGATACAATGAAGATCAACGTATAAGCAACAGAAGCAAAATGTTTCATTTGACTCCACTTTTAACTGCTTAATGTCAACAAACTTTAGGGTTAAAAGTATCTGCACACCCGCTGCTTGTCTTTCAATCTTATAAGCTGAGCGAATCACACTTTGGATTTGTTTCCCTGTTTGTCTGCCAATAGAATTTGGACAGAAATGTAAGTGCAATGGAAAATGGAGTGAATTATAAACTGCTCCTCTTTTACAAATGCAAACCTGAGTTTTGTCCTTCCCCTTATCAGTTCCTCTTCAGCATGTGATGCACTCTTCTGCAAACAATAACTATACCATGAGTTCAATTCCTAGGAATGCTTGCTAGATTAAACATAATGAGCAAAGAAGCACAAAATTGAACAGGGCATTCCATTATGCAAACAATTATTCTTTCTTTCAAAATTTTATTTTATTTCCTTCATTAATGCACATATCTCAATGTATCAACCAGGATGCATCCATGCCTTCTGAAACAATTTTTCCCAAAAGTTCAAGTGATATTTTGATCATTTAGTCAAATTTCTGCTCACATTAATAGAAGAATAATACCATCCTTCCAATTTGTTACAACACCAGTTTCTCTTGCCCATTAATTCACTAGGCTGCCTCCGAGTTGTATTTGTTGCCACATCAGAATGATCAGATATCTACCTCAAAGCTCTATGTGATGCTTGTAGAAAAATCTTTCTCATTTATTGTCACAATTTTTCAGGTGTCATCAAACCTTTCAACCCTCTGGTTTTCCAGTTTATGGCAGACCTCTTGTAAAGTTTAGGTAACTACTCAAGTTGACAGTTTGGTAGGCACTTATAATTGCCCTTTGTCAAACTTTTGGTGAGGGTAGATTCAAAGAGCACATGAAAAATTCAAATTATCTCAAGGGCTCTGACGCCAGTGACAACCTTACATTTGCAAAAATTTCATACTGAAGAAAAGCAACACATCCTACTTATTTTTGGCAAAAAATTATTCTTCTTGTTGATTTACTCTACTAGTATTCATACTTTGCAAATCAGT